CTCTCTCTCTCTCTCTCTCTCTCTCTCTCTCTCCCTCTCTCCCTCTCCCTCTCTCTCACAAACACTCACATGAAGAGACATTGTTTATAAAATTATATATTTTGAAATGTATATAAAATTATGAATACATGAATAATAGGGGGAAGTTGTAATGGTAGGTGGGAATGTCCTTGGATGACAGGTGGAAGAGTCGCAGACTAGACCATAACATACCAGAGGCAGTTGAGTCTATAGAAGAAATAGGGATATGGCAAATGTCTCAGAAGGGACCCACAGCAGTGCCATCAACTGCAAAGGTAAGAGCAGGAGAAATGTACTTTCAAACACAATATTTTGTTAATGTAACGACCTACCATTCAAAGCTGACAGGGAAGTGCCTGCAGGTGAGTCACTGGACTCAGGAATGATCTACCTCAATCAGCCCGTCTGGTTAACAGTAGCTCCTGCATACAGTATGGGCAATGCATGCAACAGAATCCCCTTTGATGAAATAAAACAGACCCTCCACAGAAGTAGATGGTGTAATTTTGAGAGATCAAGTTCATCAGCACCCCAATCTACCTTTTTGCACAGCCCTATGAACTATGTAGTACACTGATGACTAAGTTAGATCTTTGTCTTATAAACAGCTCTTTTTATGGTATCTCATTTCCAAAAATGTTTGCATCAATCTAAGCATGATTTTTTTAGATAACTTTTAGATATCAAGGCACCTTAAGGTTACATTAGTCATTAAAAAAGAAACAGTAACCCCCATTTTTAAAGAATTAAATTAGCCATTAAAACAGCAGCATTAAAAAAGCAGTTCATGCAGGCTTATCATTCATGCCCAAAGAAGCATTTTAGAAGAAACATTTTGTGCAGAGAAGCTTGTAATAGATGTTATCAAACCAGTCTATTTTAAACTCTCACACAAGTTTATTTTTCAGTGCCAGAAATAATTTGGATTTTCAAATTGCTTCTATATTTAACCCCCCCCCCCCAAAGGAGTTAATATATTACCTGGAGAAATCTCATCAGTTCTGAAGAGATAAAGCAGCAGCAGCTACAATAGCAACTAGACAGCTTGGTTGGAGAGCAAACTTTATTCCTGCTTTTTCAAGAAAGCTGAACTACATCCACATGTGTAGCATCTTTCATCAGACTCTCTGAAAGTCAATAAGGAATTCCTCACATTAATCCCATCTGCTCATGCGTAATTGTAAGCCTTCAGGGGAGGGGGGGGGAGCAGCTAACGTAAGTGATGTAGGGAATTCTACAAGCGTACCTCTGCTTCCTTTCTCAACCCTGAACTTCTTGCTGATTACATCAGTTAACATTCGGCTGCCCATATGGAACTGATCAGAGAACAGAGATGTTTTTCAGAGTTCGGGCTCACGCGGCATAATGGCTAGTCCCCAGTCTCCAAAAAAAGGACGTCACATCCTTTAACTGAAGTCTTTCCAAAACAGGAATGAGCACAATGAGCTATTTTCAAAGCTTTTCATCTAGGAGAAATCAAAACAACTGTTATAGGAGAAACAGAAAGCTTTGCAGCATTTCAGCCAGTGGGATTTCTTACAAACATAACTATTTTTTAAAAGAATCTTTGGAATATCATTGTAATTAGGCATACAATTTTATGATGCCTTCTTTCCTGCTTCTTACACTTAGTTGTGACATGCCTTTATTACATTTAATTATACTTCATGGTAACCAAGATTCTTCATAAGTGTTTGCAAACTCTTGAAACTACAGTGTTTGTATACTAATGCCCAATCCTATTTTATATAATTTTTTTCCAAAACAAATTATCCAATGTTTCTTTTGTAATTCAAAGGAGAAGAATAACAAGAGATTTTCATGTAGTAGATGCCAGCTCTTCCATGAATTTTGTAAAGAAATCGGGGTCAGTTCAGCACAATATTACTTTAAAACAGTGGTTCTCAACCTGTGGGTCGGGACCCCTTTGGGGGTNAGAGCCTTGGGGTACTCCACTGCATACTTCCCTCCATGTAGATCTCCGTGAAGATTTTATGACTCTTCTCGTCATATTTGTTACGTTTATTGCTGCAGTCCTTAAATTAGTAACACAATTAAGTGACACTAGGTTCTGCTTTGACTTTGTTTGTCAGAAGGTCAGAAAAGGGGACCACATGACTCCGGGACAATGCAAGCATCCAGATGTGAACCATGTAACCATCAGGATGCTGCAATGGGCATAAGTGTGAAAAATAATCCTGTCACTTTTTTTCAGTGCCATTGTAACTTTGAAAGGTCACTAAATGAACTGTGTATGTTGAGGACTACCTCTAAAGTACTCAGTCAGTAGAGAATAAAAACTAATTATATATAATTAGGTTCTAGTGAAATAAAACAAAATGAATAATCAAGCACTTCCTAACTTAACTCTACAATCACTATGGGCAGCTTTCTTGGAATTATAGGTGTTAAAGGAGTTAATGGTGAATAATCATCCTCTTTGCTGGTTTCCATATTAATTGACACTGGATTGTCATAAATGTAAAAGTATTAGATCTAATCATAAAAATACAATTGTGCCAAATTACTGTACACATTTTTATTGAGACATTAGTAAATTAATAAAGAAATAATGTTTGTTTCATTTACCAGAAATGTGCACAACACTCCATGATCTCTTTCAGGAAAATCAAGTTGAAGACAAATGAGGAATCTCAGACTAGAGAAAAACAAGACACTATTAAAGAAAATCCAGATAATTGCAAATTGTATTGACATGCGATAAATATTGAATATCTTCAAAATTTGTTCACAGATGTTTGCAGTCAATAAAATTCATTTGAAAGCTAAGGTTTTTTTCTTTCTGTTTTCTTACAGATAACTTTTAATGGTAAAAGAGGGATTACGTTCTTTTACCATGCTTTTGCTCAGAAAAAACAAAGTACTTCATATTTCCTCATATGTCAATGTTTTTTCAACTTACTCAGACTTTTAGAGTGCTGCCCCTTTTTCAGATTGATGACTTACCACTGTGTTTGACAATAAAACCTATCATTCCTCATGCTGCCTGGAATGGCTAAAAGTAGACTTAAAAAGATTGATAGGCATTGCACTGAAATGTGCTGTTAATTGTAAAAGCCCTTGCTGTCCAAATCTCTATTCATAAATGTTACCAAGCTTTTAGAAGTCAGATGTCAACAATGTAGGCATAAAACATGATTGCACACAAACACACACAGGCAATTCCACGTCATACTTGCCTAAATGCATAGCCTGTTAGGCACAATCCACACCAAGGTGCTTTCTTGTAATAAAAAGTGATTAAGACAAAAAAAATCCAGTGCCCTCTAATTTATTGAAGGCTAAGTTAGATGTCACTAAAATCTCCAGGAAAAGTTAGAGGCACACATTAGAGAAGTTCCAGAGATATTTCAACAGATGAATGCTGCACACTTTCCTCCTCTCCCTCCCTCTCTCCCTCTCTCTCTCTCTCTCTCTCTCTCTCTCTCTCTCTCTCCCTCTCTCCCTCTCCCTCTCTCTCACAAACACTCACATGAAGAGACATTGTTTANTTCAAAGGCCTCAATTCTTTGGCGTTCAGCCTTTCTTACGGTCCAACTTTCTATGCAACTAGTGACATTTTTTAAAAAAATTAATCACTAAGCAGTTAATGGGAAAGGAGAAAAACAGTAAATTTATACTTCAACACCCTTCCAGATAGGCTGGGTTACATTTTTTGGAATTATAATCTAAATTCTAAAACATTGGGAAGGTGGAAAACTGTTCCGCTTTTGGAATATATGGTAGAGCTCAACCAATTATTTAGCCCAAGCTTTACTTACCACAAAACATTAATATTCCATATAAAAATCATTTTCCACTATTATGTCTAATAGTTTCCACTTGATACTTAAATATGATAACAAACCTGATCGGATTGCATATCTTCCAGTTAAGAAAGCAGTTCTGCTTGGTGTGCAAAGGGAAGCTGCAGCAACATGCTGAATAAGTTTTATCCCTTCTTTTGCTAACCGATCAATATTAGGAGTCCTAAGAAAGATGTCAATACATGTTTCATTGTAATATTTTGGTGGGGGATGAACAGTAAACAATTAACCATTGTAAAACAGAGCATTCTTGCCTGTGTCAAAATTCACTTAAATCTAGAAACATACATGTATGAAAGTGTTTGTTGGACCATTCTTCTAGCAAAGGGAGAACTTGGGTAATGGAGGTGAAACAGAGAGAAACATTCCATACAACAGAAAAAGCCAATTATAATTATACACCTTCGGAAGCAGTGGCTAATATTTGGTGATCTTTGGATATGAAGGCAGTGCAGACAGATACCATATAAGAAACCCCTGAAGGATCTGAAACACTGCACAGCTGTTTCAATAGCTGTTTCTATTATCATCACGGGATAAAAGCTGGCCAGCTCCAATTAATAATTTAATTAACTATTAAAATTTAGAGGGGAAAAACACATTTTTTAAATCTTGGAAATACCTATAATAGTCTTATAATAAGTATTACTGGGCATATAACTTTAAAAATACTTTCTTATATATCTGTTCTTAGATTATAGATAATACATTATCAGTATTATCTACTCATCTCATCTGCTGTGTATAAGAAAGGGCATGATTATTCAATGATCTTTTTTCCAATTATGTGTTATGTTCCTACAAACTTTCCAAATATTTCCTGCGCTTGGATCTATGAAATAAACAAATGAATAAAATAGAGCACTGATATGAAATACTTTACCTCACTGTAGTATTTCCATAGCAGCCTAGATCTCCAATGCCGAAATCATCAGCTAATAAGATGACAACATTGGGCTTATAGCTGATCGAAGCATCCAATCCACTTGGCTTCAGCACCAAGCAGAAAATTAGAACTAAAACTGGGTATTTCCTAAAAACAGGACAGAACAGTAAGACATTTTAGCAAGATCTCAAGGAAGGCTGTTCTTCCTACACATTAACATTTATAGATAGCAATAGCAATAGCAGTTAGACTTATATACCGCTTCATAGGGCTTTCAGCCCTCTCTAAGCGGTTTACAGAGTCAGCATATTGCCNGAAAAAATACGGAAAACATAAAATAATTTTATGGTTGGGGGTAACCACAACATGAGGAACTGTATTAAAGGGTCGCGGCATTAGGAAGGTTGAGACCCACTGCTTTAAAACCTAATTAACTCTAGTTAATACCAACTCAGGTACATTATTATATCATAGTGCTGCAGTGGTGGGTTGCTCTTACCGTCGCTACCGGTATGCTGCTTGTGGTCTGTCTGTGCACGTATGGGATGTGCGCTGTGCATGTGCCAGATGTGTGCTGTGCATATGCCGGAAGTGCACTGTGCATGTGCTGGATGTGCGCTGTGCATGTGCTGGATGTGCACTGTGCACATGCCTGATGTGCGCTATGCATGCATGCACACTCTACCGTTCCTGCAAAACCCAGCTGCTCGCCAGAGGTCACGCAGGTGCCGCATGCTGTGCACACATGTGCAATTGGCCCAGTTGCTTCAAAAACAGATATGGCACACAGGCAGGCGGGTGGACCAAATGAGCTACCGTACCGGTATGGTGGTCGCTGCTCCTGACTACTTCCAGCACGGCTGTACTGGCCAGAACTCACCACTATGGTGCTGGAAGAAATACCCATCTAATTCAGTTACAAGCTGGGAGGAAGACACTAGAGATAAAATGGAGGCTGGAGGCTGATTGGGAAGAAAGGTTCTCTTTATTGATGAAGCAGAACCACCAACCACATCTGGGGCAGGGGGTTGGAAATCTTTTTTTCCTGCTACCTCTTCAGTGGGGCATGTTAATTGCCTGAGGGGCATGTCCCTCCCATGAAATTGGCAGGGAGGTATGAGCAAGAGCAAGAATTAGCCTGAGTGGGTGAAGGGGATTCTGAATGGGGTGTGTGTGCAGCTATCCATAAATCTGTACAACTGGTTAATTAAAGGTAAAGGTTCCCCTCACAGATATGTGGTAGTCGTTCCTGACTCTAGGGGGCGATGCTGATCTGTTTCAAAGCCAAAGAGCCAACGCTGTCCAAAGACATCTTTGTGGACATGTGGCCAATGTTCCCTCTATTTTTTTTTCAGTGTGAGCGGAAAAGTATAGTGTTTGAGCGGCACATTTTCATGCCTGAGCACCTGAATTTTTTTCACATATGTCACCTAAGACAACCCGCATTTTCTGGACAGGGATCCCTTGGAGAGGGGATTCCTTCCTGCGAGACCCTGTCCAGAAAATGCGGGTTGTCTTAGGTGACATATGTGAAAAAAATTCAGGTGCTCAGGCATGAAAATGTGCCGCTCAAACACTATACTTTTCCGCTCACACTGAAAAAAAAATAGAGGGAACATTGGCCACATGTCCACAAAGATGTCTTTG